GAACATCCCTGTTCGAAGATAATCATACGGAGATCTCTTTTGTTTTAAACGTGGGAGTTTTGGACTATAAATAGACAATAGAAATTCAAAAAGCTCTGGAAGCATGAAACAGTGCATATGCAACATGAAAGAATTGCTTTAAAATCAGGAAAAAAAAACACACACACACGCTTCAAGATGTTAGACCTCAGTATTTTAACGGTCTAGTATGTGGTTACAACTAATATGTTATAGGTTATCATCAATGTTGCCGGTCTACAAGCTTGTCCGATTCCTGAAATCGCTACTTCGCCACAAACATCTTTGACATGCTCTAATTTATGGCGTAAGTGCAATTCAAAATTCTACTTGTGTATAAGATTTCCCAGATGGACGACAAATTTTCTAGCAGAACAACAACTATTATTTTCCAGCTAGTTTCCGAGTTGGCACTGTGCCAATATTGGGCTTTATCGTGACTCTGCATATAATATGAGCATGCGTGACAGCTTAATTTGAAATCCTGCATTTATTATTAGCAGAAACACAGTTTTCTCGCTTTCGCTCTTTATTTTCCTGCTATCTATTGCAGGTGTCTCCTTCCATTTCAGTGCGCATTTTCAGCAGTTTGCTTCTTGTTGATCTTAACGCTTGATTCAGTTTATCCATTTGCTGTATCTTTTTACTTCACGCTAGTAATTTTGATACTTGGCTGCAAACTCAGTTAGATTCGGCAGTATATTCTCTTTTGGATGCCACACTGCACTCTCATTTTTCATGTAAAATTTAAATTTTTGCAAAAGAAGCCTCTTACAAGCTCCGCCACAGCGACGTAGTAAAGCAAAATCATTGGTGACGCGCAGTGGACGGGCCGGTGCGATCTGCGTTTCTGCAGTACTTCATGCTGTAATGACATCGCTCAGAAACCCAGTAGCTAGAAATGTGTGACATACAGTTCCTTGAAGTACGAGAAGTTAATTGTCTATGCAGTAATTGGATAAAGAACATCGCCTCAAAATTTCAGCCTCCCAGCTCTCCTGTTTCCCGAATTAGCCATTTTCCCGCCGGAAATTTTCACGGAATCGTATGTGAGGACCGTGCAAATCTCGGGGCTAAATTTTATATTTTCAGCTTTTACGACGGTTGGGAACATCCCCTTAAAATTTCAGCCTCCCAGCTTCCCTGATTTCCCAAATTAGCGATTTTCGCGCAAGGAATTCTCACGGAGCCGTATGCAAGAGCCATGCGTACCTGAGAACTGAGTTTGAAATCTTTGAGTTCCAGGTGGACGGAAACATAACCCCGAAATTTCAGCTTTCTAGCTGCTCTAGTTCTCGAATTAGTGACTTTCCCTCCAAAATCACTAAATCACTCTCATACGCTGGACCAAGACTTGCATGAGAGTTGGTGACTCGGTCCCGGAGTGGCACTTGGC